TATTCGTGATGATTCATGCAAAAATGCATTGAAAAAAAGTACGAAATAACCTTGTGCAAGAGTGTGGAATGAGGGAGGAGGTGCAGGTGGCCGAGGTGGAATTGAAAGATAGATACATTCGCTTGGAACACTCGTACCGCCACTGCTCACCGCCAAAACACTGAGCTGATACTTGCAACCGGGTTGTCCCTCAGCCACGCTCATGCTGTGCACCTCGGCGCTTTCCCGCTTCATCGTCCAGCCGCAATCGGCGCTTGTTGCCTGATCGCCATCATTCTCAGGCACAGGCCTGAAATTGCCTTATATTTTCTTAAACTATAAAAAACTATAACATATTTTGTATAAATGAACTACCAGTTATGCCCGTCCACTACTATAAAAGTGTATGCTAAAGCCAGTGGCACAATCAATTACGAAAAAAAGGGTCCGTAAGTCGCATAAAATATGTCCTACTTGTTGCCAGCTGGCGGACACGACAAAGCACAGAAAAAGCGCGTCTCTTGTGCCAAAACTCAAAGATACAGCTCCGTTAGGCAAAAAACCAGGCCCTTTACAATTCGTTCATTCTTTTCGGCAGTAAATTAGATTGAGGCCAAAAACACTAACAGTCCTCAAAAAATGAAGTTATCGACAATTTTAGTGTCAGCAGGTAAATTTAAGCTACTTTCGAGTGCCTTCGCCTCTCACACAGAATAAGTACAGCAAGAGGTACTGGACTGTCGACTTTGATCTGGAATTCGGAACAATTGTTTCCCTTGCTGATTCTTGTCCTATTTAGTTAACAGTGGCACAGACGCTTCCGCACCCATTCAATCGCTTTTTGAGCAGTTAAACAATTTTCTGTTAAATTTCAAGACCTTTCTGACTAAATTTGTGCCCTTTAAAGATAAATGTTTTATGCCTTCCTGTATGAATTTTGCATTTCACGATTTTTTTTTTGGGGGGGAGTTTTCCCTACCGTACCAAAAATTCAAGCAGATTTCTAGCGACAATTCGAGCATCTCCGAAGTATGAAAGACGGTCATTTCTCTTCCCTAAGCTCTCTTCCCCCCTCTCATCTTGTTAAAAACTTAATCCTTTTCCATGTTACTCTTGAAAATTTGCAAAAAGAATGTAAGGAATGGGTCAGCTGCTCCCTTACGAAAAAGTGCGGAACAGCGAGCGAAAGAAAACACTGAGGGAGAACGGAAGGTAAGTGAAATTCAGAAAAGCCACACGCCTCGGTTTCGAGCGCTGGGCTTCTTCAGGAACTTACACGGAGGAAGGACGAATGAGCACTCTCTCGACGATATACTCCGTGATCGGGGCACCGTTCGTACTATTTGGTGGTGACCAATGCAATACATTGTTGCTATCAACGTGAACATCAGTTGGTGGTGGCGGTGGCTGTGCGGCAGTTCGGCCGACTGCCACACGACTCCATTCGCCCTCCAGACGTGTTCCATCAAAATTTGTTGCCACAGCCCGAACCTGTACTTCCAGCTCTTCGCCCGGAGCGCAGTTTGCCAAGTCAAACATTGTTGCTTCACCTGAGAAAAGATTTCTGCTTTTTTTTTCTCCAAAATCCCAAATAATGTAAAATCATCCTAGCAATGTAAGCGTGTTATTATTTACAGAAAACAAATTCTTTTGCATCTCAACAGCTTCGTCCGTACACCGCGCAAAAATCGCTACGAAAGAGGGAAACTTCTAGAAATTTCATCGACCGGCACACTCCCGTTGTGCCACATAAGTGAGGTAAAGCATAAGTGAAAAAAGCAACTGCTAAATTTTAAGACTACGGAAAGTTGATATTCGGGAAAATTTTGAGCTACATTTAGGTGAAAAGTCAAAATTTGAGACACAGAAGGGCTGGAGATAGATTTTGCTGTTAGACTAAACCTTCAAAGTTCCAGGAAGTCTTTTTATCTCAAATTATCTTAAGTTGGAGTTGAAACAAATGAAAAATTTATTGATAACGATGATAGGAAAAAGATAACAAATTATTTCGTGACACAATCTCATCCGAACATATCTTCTTGCACATACCACTCTATCCAACCCCTTAACTCCTATTTTACTGTCATCATAAACAAGAAAAAAAATTTCCTTGCAAAAATTACAGACTTTCCAATGGCAATGCATTAAAAGTCGGATTGTCAAAACGAATTAGGTATGGTTTTGTAAACGCGAAATACGTGACATTTTATGAGCATCCCAATAATTCAATCAAAGGACCAAATCGAACTCGAAAAGAGAATGCCCAAAAAAGTAGGGGGTGCAAAAATGAGGCAAGCAAAAGCTGCAAAGGCGTGTGCAGCAACTGCTTCAAATCTTGTTTATTTTAGTTTAAATTTGGTTCACTGCGGTAGGCCTACAAAAAACCTTGGTTCAGCAACAGGAAGAAATGACAGTGGGGAAGCAAGGGACAAGCTCGCAAGTCGAGAATTCACTAAAAACGAGAATAACTGATGCAAAATTCTGCATACACGCATCTCTCACCTTGATAAATGATACTTGAAGGCTGCTGGTTGACACGATGGAGCTGATAAATCAACGAGGGCGATGCACCTTCCGGTGGATTCCACTGAATTCGAAGACAGCCTTTCGATATTTCAGAAATTTTCGGCGCTGCACACTGTCGTGGAACCAGTACCGTACGTTGCTTCTCCTCTCGTCGAACACGTAAAATGTCACTCCAGCCGCTCTGTAAGGATGGGAACTAGAGCAGTCATTTATCTCTGTGATTTTTTTTCCCACAACTTTGCAATTCAGTTGCCTCCAAAAAGAACTTTAAAGTTTCCTTCGCTCCTTTTCTGTGAAGTGTAGGAAGGATGATAAAAAAACCGATTCAAGGCGGGATCAAATTCGGCCAAGGAAGAATTTTTCTTTCAAATGATACTTGAATAAGGAAGTACAATTACCTGTGTCTGCTTTTTCAGAGCCGATACACGGAAGAAGCGCATTTCAGGATCTCGAATCAGTGCATTTGTTGCACCACCTTTGTACACAACGTTCCACGGTCCTTTTTCATCCGAACTCCCTTCGACAATGAAACTAACGTCCTTATCATTCGCTCTTGGCAGTTTCCAGCCAATTTCAAGAGATGCGCCATTATTCGAGATGATATGTGGCCGGGAGGGAATCGGTGTTGGCGAACCAGGCATATTTGAGGGAGACGGTGGCGTGAGTACGATAAGCGCCTCCGACGGGTCGCTGACACCCGCATCATTATGAGCGATCAAGCGGAACTGATACTGATGATTGCTGCAAAAAAAGGAACAGTAAATTTTTCGGCTCAAAAAAACGGATTTAAAAAAAACCTGTAAAATGGTACTAAACAATGGGAGGGTGAGCAGATAGAGGTGGGAGGAGGCGGATGGAGAACCTTATTTCACCGAGAAACAATGTCTATTACAGATAGAAGGGAAAAGAAGACTGTCGAAACTAATACATGTGAAGAAGCTAACAATGCTGTTGTATCAAAGGCCTGTTGTTGTAAGCTTCTGAACAGCTTCTGAAGAGCATTTTTATTTAATCCCGGAGCAGTAGGCCAGTGCTTTAAATTAAATAAGAACATAAGCGTATACCTTGCAAGATCATTTATACTGGCCGATGACTGCTGCGCTCGTTCGCATACTATGGAATATTCATTTGTTCGTGCATCTGACATTTCCAGCTAAAACTTTTTTATTCATAGCTTGATCCTGTAACAATTAATAGTTTTACTGTTGTGTGTCTTTCTGCTGTCAAAGCGGCTGGCTTCTTTTTTATGGCTATAGCAATCAAAACTGTATCATCATAAAGACACCAATACACTGCTGATGGCCAAAGTTTTCTGCTTTCCTTACTCAACAAAAATGCGATCAGTAACTGCTTGATGCATCGAATTTTCCCAGTCTTTTCGCTGATTTTGCAGTCATTTGGCTCAATTAGCAGGCTT